TTCGCGTCTGCCGCTACCTGTTCCCAACGATTTGAAACCAAGTTTTGCATCAAATATTACTATACCGCATACGGTGACTAATACATATACCAAAGATGTTTCAGGTACAAGACCAGACTTAGTAGGTACCACGTATCTAGATGTTTCATGAACGGTTGGTAGTATTAATTGGAGCGAAATGTGGAATCAACGACGACCTCTAGTAGCATACTGGAGTACCAAGGGCAAAACATCGTATTTTCAATTGGGATTCTTACATGATAGTAATGATTTTTCGGATGCGCAATTTTTCAGTGTACAGAAGCAGGATCGAGTTTTGGCTGGTCTAGTGTTGGCAACTGACGATCATGACAAGCACATCAATTTAGATAAGATTAAGAATGCGACCATAGTCGCCTCCGATTGTCGTCTGCGTTTTGGAATTGGTGGTAGTGATGCCGCGAATGCTACGATAACGATCCCAATTGTTACAAATCCCATCAAATTAAAATTTGATAATATGTCATTACAATTCGCGCTGCCAAATATACTTTTCGATAACAATAGTACTCAATATTTCAATGTCACAGGAAATAAGGATCAAGTCTATATTGACTACATACTCTTTAATGGTGCTAAACAAACTATTAAACTGGACACACTAAAAACAGTCATCGTCATCGTGACAGTACAGTTTTCTAATGGCGAGAATCTTTGGAGTCAATCAATGACCACTTTACAAGGTAATTTCATGCAAACAAAATGGCAAGACTTGTGTCTCGCAACACAAACCAAACCAAGTACAATGGCACAATTGCGCAAGATTGTCAACTACAGTTGCCAATAACTTCCATCTCCAAGCTTTTTTTTTCACTTCTTTAAGAATGAGTCTGTCATTGGAATTTCTTTATTTTCACTTCTGAAGATCAATATTTAAAAAAAATCGTACTGTTTTCACTAAAATGAAGATATATGATAGTATTATGAAAGAATATTGTGTCTCGCAAAACTATCTCAACTTTTACAACTAGTAATAACCCATGCATTATATAATATGTGGTCTTGTATTATAAAGCAGAAAAGCATACATGCATACATAGCGAGTACTTAGATAAATAATCGTTTTTTTCTAGTTCGATACATCACTCTATCTTTTCAGCTTATTGAATGTTGATTATGATCAAGTTTAGTTGTAATTGAGTGCTTTTTATACATGATAAAAACTAAAATGGTAGAAATATAAGATGGCTTATAGTCTTGGTTGAGACAATAGCATATTAATATACATATTTGTTTGCAGTTTTGAAAAGCAAAAATATGACACAGCTTTGGAATATTTTGCTTTTTATTTACTTTGTTTAAATAATGTTGATGGAAAACATCGATCAATTGTCATGCGAATATACAATCTCATAGAATCGTTTTTAGTGATCCCAAAGTCATGTTTCATGCATCGACTGCTTTGTGGATTTTTATTTTAACTGTGGTAATTATGTATAATTTTATAAATCAACCGATCTTATTCATTTATCACTCATATCTCATTTTGTCTAGAGTGTGAGTGAATGTCGATCAACAGAACGTCCACATACGAAATCGTTAAAGATATCTTATAGACAACGATTGATTTCAACTAATGATCGTATGTCAAGATGTTTTTGAAGAGTCTATATAAAAATTATGAATTCATTTTGCGAATATTTCTTTCTTTTTCTTGTCTCATTTCATTTATGAATGTGCAACGAATATAAATCAGATATTGTTCAAAAGAGAAGGAAATCTTATATCACCTGGTAAATAAAATTCATTTCAAAACGCGTTTGTCGAAGAGTCATAGGAAACAACAATTTGTGCCGTTTTTACTGAACCTTACGAAATGTGTGGGTCCTTTGTAAGAGGGCTTCTCTTTCCTATTACATCATTTCGTTCATGGATGTGTACCAATAATAAATTATATATGACTTGGAAGAGTAGAAAAAGCTCTATCTTTTAATCGAACACTTTTCCTTCAGTGCCTTTCCGTTGAAGAGAAATAGGGTCCGACATTTGTCTCATTATTTTTGCATCGTATGTTATGTTTATATATTTCCAATCTTGAGGAAAAAAATGATACTTACAGAACTTCATTTTATAGCAATGTTTAAATTAACATTGAGTCACATTCCTGAACATCCAATTTTACGTGGTATATCTTTATTTTTTTTATACCAAATAAGGGTTTGTGAGTGTGAGTGTTAGTCTTCAGTTCACTTACATCCACGCTTACACATATACACACCCTATAAAAAATACACAGGAACAGGATTGATCCAATATCTGATTACTCTAGGCAGATAATTTCTGTGAACGAATGGATCGAACATGATTTAACAGAGTGTAAAGGTTTCAAATAGTTGGATGATCTTCTTTACAATGCCAACTTTCATGCTCATCTCATTCTCAAACTACAACGGCTTTGATAACATTACATATTCCCTAAAATGAAAAGACGTTTCACGAAAATGTTTTCAAATCATATACAAGACGGAATCTTGTCGATGTATAAATGCATATTGAAGAATACATGCTAGAATGTTCTAGATACAATATCCTTTACAAAATATTCACGACTTGTCGTCCTTGAAAAACATATCCTTCAGAGTAAATGTTTCTGAGCAATAGTTCTTACTGTTATAGTCCTCCAACAAAATGTTCTTGCGGTAAAATATACAAATTCTCTGTGGTAATGGTAATTATCTAGTCTAGTTTATTATAACGGATTCAGATTTATTTTATTTTTCATTCTTAACAAGAAAAGAAAATGTGTCCTCTCATTCTTGCGAATTGAGGTGTGGGTGAAAATAAAAAGAAGATCCATAACTACACACACGACAGTCACATTCACGCTCATACTGTCAAACGATTTTTTTCCTTTCAGTTGATTTTATTGATCATTAAGACTGAAGAGAATGAAAAGTTTTGTATTTTATTATTGTATCGGTAAAAGAAAAACACTTCAATCTTTCGTATGATGAAAGCACTTAAAACAATTTCACGATTCCATTTCACTAATTTCTATAATTTAAAGAATTTCTGAAAGGTATGTGATTATGGATCAGTATATCCAATAAATTTTTTTAATTTACTGTGATGGTAATGAATTGCTTTTCTGTTTCAGTTTGATTAGCTTTATTACGTTGCTTTATTCACAATCAATAGATAGCGTTTGGCAATTTTATGCTTATTTCCAAGATAGTCTAGAATATATTTCTATATTAAAAATGAAAATTTGATTTTTAAGTTTCCTGATGTCAGAGTGGATGAATATGCATGAGGAAGAGATAAACACTCGTCCACCCATCAGAGATGCGCGAATACGAATACAATTTGTACTCAGGGAAGATTATGACTCCCCATGTACTGGGAATAAACCTAGAATTTGCAGAATTTGTATTCTCATGTACTCTCATGTGGTTTTATGTACTGACACCCACACCCTACATGACAGTACATGAGACGACAAGGAAAGGAGGGTACAAATTCTAGATTTTTCCCAGTATATGACGATACATGAGAGTACAGGACAGTACGACTTCTGAAAATTAAAGGTTTTTCCCCAGCACTGGAGCATTTATTACAGTACATTAGAATACATGAGAGTGTATGAGAGTACCTGACGTTACAAAGTCTCACATTCTAAGTTTGAGGGTCATGTTCTTTCCAGAGTACAATTTGTACTTGTATTCGCGCAGCCCTCCCACCCACCTATCATCAGATAGTTCGTGGTCTCTTTAAAAATTTATATAGTTCAATTTATTTAATCCAAATTTTCTTTCAGAGAAAGATATGTATTTATATACACAGTGTTTTATTGATACATACATTTGTAAACAAGTTCGTAATAGATGATTGTTCTAATATCATTTCTACCATTTCAGATACATCAACATTGAAACTTTCCGCTGTCGTATAATCATGTGAAGACTATCGATATCGCCTAACGATGGTGACTGAGATCAAAACTGAGATGAATCATAATATATTTTTGAAATTTCAACGATCAAGTCGAACGTGTTTAGACGTGATCTTAGTTTAAATTGCGTCTGACTGTGATTTTATTAGCAACCACGTCTGAACGACATTTTATGTTGAATTGAGTCGGAGCAAAAGAAAAGTTTTCTCAGAAGTGTGCCCATATGTATTCGGCTGTTGCGGCTTAGACACAAATGAAACGCGATTCAGACGAGATTTGATTCAAAAAAATATTTAAAGGGATTGCTTCAGAACTCTTATGTCATGAAAAAGACGCATTTTGTTTATCTTGGAATATAAGTTTATGTGAACTGAAATATAACACAAAATGATAACTATATTTCTAAAAGAAGGGTGTGAGTGTTGTTGTGTACAGGTGTGAATGTTAGTTTTCCGTTCACTCACGCCTTCACACCCAGATAGCCCACATCCACACCACAAACCCTACGCGCACATCGGTTATTCTCACAGTTACAATTACATACGACATCCACGCCGACATGCATTATCATACCGAGGCGCACAGTCACACTCTACATCCATACCGACAACGACTACCATAGTCAGGCACATAGCTACACCCTACACTCACACTGGCACGCTCTGCATATGATGCAAAATAAACTGGTAGAAAAAAAAGACGAGATGAAAGTAATAAAACAGTATTTTCGCATGGTTTATTTACTTTTTAATCTAATTGAATAATCGTGTGTTAAAAATTGTTTCTCTTTTTCTCTCTAACATCAAGCTGAGAAGTTTCATAGCATAAAGTTAATGCACTTTGTTAAAAGCTTCTTAAAACAAACGGCCATTTATGCGTATAAAAAGAAGAAGAAGAAAAGAAATAGTATAATTTATAAAGAGAAACGTTTAATCTCGGTTGACTTCATCGGATTATTTCATTATTGAAAGCAAACAAAAACTATACTAAGAAAAAAGGACAATTCTGTACTGACAAAATGAAGAGTATGCTATGTCTTTCCATCTTTGTCTTTTGTACACTGTTTGGAATGATACACGGAGCGCATTTCCGTGGTGGTATTATTTCATGGTAAGTGTAGTTTTTCAACATTTGATCTGCAATTCATTGTCGTATGTCTTTATTTTTATGTTCTCTTTCTTAGGCGTCCCTTCAATAGTACACCATCGGGTAACTATGCCAAAATTCAGGTACATCAAAGATATTTTTGGAATCGGCGATGGGGTAGTTTTAGCGCACCTTATTGTGATGAATCAGATGTCGCTACTCAAACATTAATTCCTGTCAATTCACTCATGACATGTTTACAAAACTGTTCAAGTTCTAACTATTCTTCACTTTCAACTAAAATGACAAGTACAGATTGTGATGCAAACGTACTAATTGACTCATGGGCTGGTGAACGCTACGATAATTTGACATTGCCGTTGACAACGTCAATTACAATTGGCTTTGTCTCCAATGCATGGTTTAACTCACTCTATATTGGTGGCGGTGGAGGTTGGTCAATTGTTAATCGACTAAATTTAGGTTTGAGACCCGATGGTTACATCAACACAAGTCCTGTTACAAATACATTACCAGTAGTTTTTGTTCCAGTGAATACACGAACAGTTCACATTGTACAAATGGCAGATAATGATGCTACCGACATATTGAAATGTCGTTGGTCCAATTCCGCATCTACAACGAACTATAATCGTGAAGATGAATGTGACGGCGTCTGCAGTGGACTACCTGCTTCAACTGTACTCTTTCAATCCAATTGCACATTAGTTTTTACCCTACCAATAACTAGTCTCTATTACGCCTGTGCACTGCAAATCGAAGATTACTATGATTCTTCCTCCGCAACTCCAATGAGTTCGGTTCCAATACAATTTTTATTCTATGCATATACACCTTCAGCAAGCGCTTGCGCAACTCGTCCAGCAATCATCGGTGCCCGTCCGAATAGAGGTATGAGCGTGAATTTTCTTTTAAGTTAAATTCAAACATTTAATAACGCTTTTATTGTGTCTCTTTAATTTTCTTTAGCCTGTATTGGAGTTCCGATAGGTAAGTGCAGTTGATAATTTTCTGTTTTCTAATATTTAAATGCTATCTTTTAGATGTTCAATTGACTGAAAGTGTAATTGTACAGACATACTGTGCCGGTCAAAATATTGTTGATTTTGTCACTAGCTCACCTATTGGAATGACACATAGTGCGATTAGTAATCCAAGTACTAGTAAGCAGTTTGCAGTCTTTTCGTTAGAGTAAGCAAAGGTTTATCTGTTTGAAATTTAATACTACAGATCTATGGACAATGACATTGACTTGGACACCAAAATTAGCACAATCTGGTCCTCAAGGCTTCTGTGCTGGTGCAATTGACAATCGAAATCTGCAATCAGACCCATGGTGTATTACGTATCTAGTTGATTATACATCACCGAATATAATTCGTCCTACAGTTGTACAGGGATCAGCAAGCCCAATTGGTACTGTCTTTGCAAATCAGTCGATATTTGCAATAATGGGTATGTATTTTTTGGAAAACATAGCTAACCTCTGTTTTTAACTGAATCTATTACTCTTCATCTTCTACTCTTAATCAAAAGCTACAAATCCTGTTGGTCGTCCAAGTCGCAATGGAACATACATCTGCTTTAACGATGCAGCTACAAATACGTCAGTAGTATGTTATGATGCTGGATATGCTTCGAATCTATTCTATACCGGATACACAGTTACAATCATTACAAATGTAACATGGACTTATGGTCATACTTATTATGTAACTATGGATAGTGGGTTTGCTAGTGGAGATGTATTCTGTCGTAAGTTTCTTTGTATTAGTCTTTGTAAAAAAAAATTGAATTTTTTATCATGATATTTGTAACTTGGCAGATGCTGAATCAGAGCCCGTCACCAATAGAACATTTTGGCAGTTCAATATCTGGGACCCAGCAGTTTCGAGTACAACTACAACTACTACAACTCCGCCTACAACACACACAGTGACAACGAGAAATGTGTCAATTACAACTGTCAATACACTGGTGAGTTTCGAGTGACAGATATTCTACTGGTTTGTATAGTATCTATAGTGAAGATTGTTTTTCATTATTACAGCTTACTACAACTGGCATAATCGCCTCGACTACGACCGTACTGAACTATACTAGTACGACCACTACGACTACCACGAGCCTGATAACCAGTAAGAGGCTACTGCGACTAACTTACCTGATTTCAGCATGTATATCTTTTTTCATAGCCACTACAACTGCTACCACTGTAACTACAACTCAGTTGATCACTGACGTACAAGTTATGACACCAAAAGACCTGGTACGTTTTGTACGCTCTAAGTATTTCTTTTGTCTCAATGTACTTTTATTACTTGTCTTCCAGGAAGAAGCCTGTAGACAACCTGTTGCTATCTTTACAGTTCTTCAGTTCATGGCTACGCTACCCATTCATATTGCTACACTATTCATGCTGTATACAAAAATGAATAAAATGTTCAATCCGAATCTGTTAGAAACTACAGTGAAGCATAAGGAACGAATGAAACGCTTAGCAGCAGGAAAACGACCATGGAAACCAGAGCAACAGCGGTTAGCTCAAAATGAGCAATTATAATGACCCGTAGTTGTAGCAGCATTTGTTTGACGCTAAATTGGCACACATAAACATACATTAAAAGAAAAAATGTATACTTGAACTATAAAAATATAAACAGTTCTGCTTCATACTCCTCTAACGTAAACTAAATTGATCTCTAATCTTCTTTTTCTGGTATCAAATTTGTTCACTTTGTTTTGCTCTGATCTTTAGCTGCTTCTTTCATTCTGTTGTGCAGTTCTTTTTTTTTTTAACTCTCTTCTTTTTCAAATATTATCTACTTACGTGAAAACATTCCTATATGTCTAAACCCAATCTCGTTCATTCATACATCGATCGATAGAGACTATTGGTGCAGTAAAAAGATAGAGAGGATTTCGATAGATGACTGGTTCTTTCTACATTAGAGACGGGGATATGGGTAGGTGTGGGTGTGGGTGTGTCTAAAGATGCATTCTCAGAAGCCAAGCAATCATATGATGATCATTTCGAACCTCGCTTAAGAAATAGTTCCTGAGAAGACCAAGGAACCGAAGCATTGATCATAATTTAGATTTTTGTTTTTTGGTGTGTTTGAAGGGTGGATGTAGGTGTGAATGTGAGCGCCGATGAATAGAAGACTATCACCCATATCCACTCTTTGTTTCTGTGGAAAGTTTCAAGTCAAAATTCGAAACTCAATTTCCTTGATGTCCCTCAGAGGGACCACGACATTCTACTAAAAATACCGTAAAAATTACAATATCTCAGCAGCGATAAGCTAATAGTTCGAACTTTTTTCAGTATATTTATAGTTCATTAGAATTACATAATGCACATAGTCCTAACTCAAAAGCAATTCAACATTTGAATATGTTCTCAAGTTAATTGTTATCATTCATGATTATTTTTCAAAAAAAAGTTTAGCGCATAGTTGAATGAATTCATTTTAGACATGAACCATTGTTGACTTATATCACACGAAATTTTCCATTCGTGTAGCCATCAATGTTGGCGCAACAGTAGCTGTTAGATGTTGGTCTCGTGAAGTCATACATAATATTTTCTGTTTGATGTTGTAAAGTTCAGGTTGAACACCATATTCTGATGGGAGACCACATAGATGAACAAGAGGAATAAGATAGATAGGAAGATTAAAAGCCATATTTAAACCTGAAATTAGGTATAGCTGAATAGTAAACCGACGTTGTTTGCACCATTCAGTGGAACGTCAAAGACAGCGCTTTTGACATTTAACATGTACAATAAATAAGATACTAGTAAGACCTTCGAGAAGAATTGGTGTACTATTATTGACAATAAATTCTCACATACCAAGAATACCATAGAGTTGATAACATGGAGATGCGTTACATGTCAGCAACGTAGAACCATAGATCTTTTTACAATTTAGAAAAAAAATGACAATAATATAGAAGACTAGAACATATGCGACTATAATAATCATAGGAAAATAATGAAGAAAAAAGCGTCCTGTTACATTCGTAATCCATCGACCATGAAATACTGAAACGTGTCGTTCGATAGCCAGCCATGTCATCAAAATGATATCTTCAATATAGAACCCATAATCATTTAACCACCAGAGGAGGCATACAACAGCTTTAGATGATTGTACAGAACCATAATGAAGAAAAATAAGATGAAAATTGATGTCCATGAGTTGAACTGGCAAATTAAATAGAAGTATAAGAAAAATAGCGTGATTATGCAATACATATCGTCGATTTCGATTCATTATGAAATGAATAATGAGACAGAAATCGCAGACGACCAATGGAATATTAAATAGAAGCATAAGCCAAAACTGAACTAGGCATCGTAGAGAAATTTCCGAATTGTCGGACGAGCCATCATCATGTTTGAAACTATTATTTGTGACCATTGTTGATAGTAAGAATAGACTACAATAGAAGAATAATCCACACTACTGTTTTGCGAGAGAAAATGGCATCAAACAACGCTTTCCACAGGAGTATAAATGTGTTAAACGAAGTTGATATGGTAGGACACCCATTGAGTCGATCTCTTATCCAAGGGGGACTAACGTCTTGCTATTTCTCTTCACTTTGCTGCGAAGTTCTCAGTCGCCATTTCATATTTACCTCTCCAAAGTTTTAGACAACTATCTCGAACAGAAAAGAGCCCTCAATACAGTATTGCACTGATGAGACCTAAAAATTAATTAAAAATAGATAGCAGACAGAAATTTATCTCTTTCAATCGAGACAACCATTCCATATACAAAATAATTGTTTGGCAGAATATCAGTGCTCTCTAAACAGAATTGACTTGAATTTTCGAAGAATTATTTTTCAATTGATGGCTCAAACAGTCTTTGACAGATTGCACTTTTCAGATTTAATACTATCAAATATCTAACTAAATCATAGGAAATTTCTGCTGAATTATTATTTAGAATTAATATACTCATGCCCAGCGTTTCCTTCTGGAATCTTCAGCAAAGAATTTAAAAGAGTCGAACAACTACATAGAACAAGTGAAAATGATTTTCTATAGTAAACTTCGGCATTCATGGTAAAATAAGTAGCATATTATTCAACGAAAAATTTTTAACTAGCAAGCAATAATCAATAGGGACACACAGTTTTGACATTAAGATGATTTTATGCTATATCTCTTTCATCAATGATATCAATATTCTGATTAATTCTATATCAAACACGAGTAGACTATCGTAAACGTAAATCTTTTACTCGTAATGCCTACAAATTGGTATCTCTTACATATCGTATATGTCAACGTGCAGGTTGAATTCGGTTCAAGTTAAGTCTTCGACATATTAGAAGATCGTCATAGAAAAATAAATTTTCTTAATAGTATCTACGGCTTAAAGAGTTTTTAGTTTTTATGTACATAAATAATATCTTAGTTTAGTAGGGATAATATTTTGCTTCGGGCGTCATAACGACGTGTCGGTTTCGAGTTAGAAAAGTATTGAAAAACAGTTATTAGGTAACAAAAAGTCTATCGACAAATGCTTTTCTTGAATGGAACTAAATTGTCGAGTCACTTCAGTACTGCTTTGCAGCCTACTCGACAACAATTCTTTCCATTCTCTTTATGAAAAAAGGCTCAGGTGATCGTAAGACCTGATTGACATATGGTACATCCACACTGGAAATACATGAAGAGATCTTTCCAAAATAAGAATCTATTGGGGGAAAATCCCGCTCTATATTAATTAGGAGGTCTCTTCGTTATTGCACTTTCTTCTAGAAATTCAGAAAGGTTTTCATCCCAGAATAGCACATTCACCTTTGAAAAAAAGTATACTTTAAGATATACCGGTCGACGTTTCTTGTAGGATGTACTGCTTCGGTGCCTTAGAACACAGTTCTTTTCTCGAAAATATCTGAAGGTATTTTTCGAAACGGACACAAAAGAAATTGAATGCACATTTAGCAAATGCTTCTCAAAAAACTGCTTCCTCGCTGACCACCATATTCATTGAAATCAGTCTAGTTCTAATTACTATGCTACTTGTGCATTTCATTCTGAATCAATGTCATTACAGAAGTGAACAGTTGGATCAACTGATGAGAAAACTCTTTCCGTTTAA